CACCACTTTGTGTTGGTCTTTCACGTGGAATTCCAATAAAATTGATTCATGGTTGTGGCTGTAATGTGACAAAATGTGGGAAAGTTCAAATACTTTTTCAAGCCACTGTAAATGCATAAACATGCAAGATCTCCTGCCTGAAGTGCGGGAGTGAACAAATTTATTAGACCACCCATCGTAAATGCATGAAAATACAAATATTTTAGAAACATGCCAAAAGCTTTTTAACACAATAATTGTTGTTTTTTATTAGGCAATTGACAAACTGAATTAATGTTTCTTTACCCAAAATTAAGCCGGCACACTGAGAAATCAGAAATCAATCAAGTAAGCAAGTAAATAACTCTAAATTGGCATCTTAATAAAGATAATAATAATAACTGAGTTCAGTTTTATTTTATTATATTTATATATCACCAAATCACAACAGCAATTGCCTCAAGGCACAATAATATGCTTGACTATTTTTCTGACTATTTTGTAAAAAGTAAAATAAAAAAAATTGTGGATAAAACATCAATAATATTTTTGCAGTAAAAATAATATTTTATTTAAATAGCCTGCATATACTGCTCAGTTAACCATTACAGAAAACCCAAAAAGGATTCCTTTAATTACCAACACTGTCAATATTTGGGATAAAACTTTCATTGAGGAGCGGACAAATACATTTGCTAAGAACTGTTTACCAATCGAAACAAGACACTCTTCAGCCCAATTAGCTTAAAATCTAAAGTGATACATGTTGTTTTTTACTATGTCAAAAAACAATTAAGCTAGTTTTCGTGATTTCATGATTTTAGAACACTTAACCCCTTTGAAGCAAATATGTGATTTCTTTGTCATATTGGCCATGAGAGATGTCCAAGCACTATTGTCCATAAACGGGGGGAATGGTGTGTATGATTGTGGAAATCAGTGTATTCGGAAAATGGGGACAGAGCGTCGTCTTTGATAGCTTCCTACCCAACCAGTGAAAGCTTCAATGCAGAATGATTCCTGCTCCTAGCCATTCATTGGCTCGCCATCCTTTTCCATACCCCAAAAGGTTCACCTGGCCTGCATTAAATAAACAAGGCCAATAAGAAATCACAAGAATAATACAAAAATGTCAGTCAGTTAAGCTAAAATACATTAAGTTATTCCTGTTTACACAACTTATAAATAGATAAACAAACAGTATATTTAACCAATAAGGATTTAACTAAAACATTTCAACTGCTATATACATAATATATAGCTTCACGACATTTGTTATTCAACAACTATCGGTCAAATTAAAAATCAAAATCAAATTGTTTGGACCGGCAGCAGCCAATTAGCCTATTGGCTGAGCAAAGTTATGTGGTTGGAGTCATGCATTTGTGATCCGTTCATTAGCAGGAAATAAGTGCAGGAAATTACTAAATTCTAGTAAAACAGATTTTACTCTGGGTTGCACTTGTACTTGTGACATGTGCAATGACAATAAAGTTGAATTCTATTCTATTCTATTCTATATTCTTCAAGAACAGCTTGTTGCCCTACTGGGGCCCCTTGCTAACTCTCTCTCTGATTCTATAAATAACCTGGGCATCTATTTGGATAGCTCCTTTAAGCCCAAAAAGCAAGTGTCATCTGTAGTTAAATCTAGCTTCTTTCAACTATGCCAGATTTCTAAAGCTAAGCGTTATATACAATGCAGGGGACTTTGAAAAACTTATCCATGCTTTTGTGACCTCCAGGTGTGACTATTGCAATTATCTTTACTGTAGTCTCCAATCCGTCTCTCTTCAAAGGCTACAACTGTCAGAATCCTGCGGCTCACCTTCTTGCCAGAGCTGGAAAAATTGATTCTATCACTCCAGCTCTTGTTGATTAAATTGGTTACCTATCAAATATTGCGTTCAGCTTAAAATTTGGCTACTCCCTTTCAAAATTCAGAATAATATTGCACCCAGTCAGTTATCTCACTGATCATCTCAATCTGTACACTCCTCGCTGAGCGTTAAGATCATCAGGTCAATCACTCCTGGCCCAACCTAAGTTTAAGTATGTGACATTAATGAGGCTTCTTATCAGATGTGTTTTATGCTGAAACCAGCAAGAATTAAATGATTCATCATTCTGATAAAATGTTTCGTGCATGTTCATCGAGCCAAACATATATTTACTATATTACTTCATCATTGGATCTGGACATGAACCTGCAACATGAAGTGGATACTGATACCAAACTTTGCAGAAACCTTGGTTTTTAGTTTAAATGACCAAATAACATCCAATCAAAAATAACAACCTTCTTTCAAGGCTAGAAGTAACATCCCCCAAACTCTCCCCAGACATGCCACCCGCCACACCTCATCAGGTGCAGATAATTAGCAATTATGCTTCAACAACACCCAGATGCTCAGACTCAGTACAAGGCAAGTAGGGGTTACAGAGGGTGTAACACCTCATCACTGTATTATATCATTTACATTGTTGACCCTGTTTTTACCTCTGAGCATGACATTAAGCTCTCATTAGCACAATCCCATTTTAGATCAGCGTTTAGCATATACACTTTAGGATCACAGAATTTAAGATGAGATTTTCCTAAAAATGACATAGGTAGGCAGCTCATTCTAATTGTTATATGTTCCATACAGTGTGTATGATTTTCTGACTTGCCCCCAAAATTACAACTATTCTCTAAGTATTAACTTTATTTCCAGCCTTAATCATGCATCATCATTCATGTTTTTAAACATTCTTTTTTCATTCTAATAGAAAAACTGTTCCACTTGTTCCCTCACATAATTTCAACCCTTTAATAACCAGGAATTTAAAAAGTATTTATAAAGAACTTGTTAAAAAAAAACCTCAAAATGAACACGAAGAGGTTGGAGACCAGATGATTAAAGTGGGGTCTGCAAACACAAAGAATCCAAGAAAACCATCAAATTACAGGAACCATGACATAAACTATAACAATAATGTAAATAACTAAATAACTTAATAAAGGTATGTTACTTTAATAAAATGTGAATTCTGTTGGTTATTTTTGTCTTTTTGTCTCTTTGAAAGATGACAGAGTTATACAAGAAACAAAATCAGAGTGAGACATTGAAATAAAGTTCACCAATTGTTGAATCAACCATGGACATCAAAACTATGCTGTATTCACCTGACTGGACACTGAACCATCACAAGCATCGGCTGCTGTAAAAGCACATTAACAAAGATCACAGCAGCTGACATTAAGGGTTTGCTGTGGGCTGCATCAGGCTGAGTCCCTGCACAGCGAGGCACAGAACCTCCAGCAGAACCTCTGGGGGCAGCTCGGGCCGGTCCCAGCCATCACTCAACTCTTTCAGCTTCTGATCGTTCAAACAGATGAACTCGGCCGCCCAGCGGAGCTCCCCTCCCTCCTGCAGGGGGACGGGCAGGGACTCTGGCAGTGTGGCCTGACCGTCCTTCAGACCATCCACCTGGAG